CAAGTCCTTTCTTATCGAAATACCTACATCTTACAAATAACATTGGTTTAGGCGATGGGTTGATCCGTCAGACATTAAAAACAAACCCTTTTGTGCATGAAGTTAAAAGTAATGAAAAGACTTATCCGATTGTGTAAAACTAACTCTCACTTAAAGGCTGACATTTCACAGCAATATCTCTTATGAAGACAGTTCTGCAAATTGTCACTTCTGCGCAAAGTTATTTTGATTTGAGAAAGAATAAAATTTCCGAAGGAAACTTCCCACAAAAAATCGGCATTCCCACTTCAAAAGGTTTAATAGACCGAAAATAGTGAGCAATTATTAATTAATCCACACTACAGGACTCCAAGCTTACATTTGGTAAGAAAATATTTTTGTTTTTCAAAATATGATAACTTTGTGTATACTTGTTGCCAACTTCATTATACCCCCTCTGGTAGAAGGCTGGCAAAAAACTCGGAGGGTCAATTTTCGTAGGCCTCTCTTGAGGCCAACTTCTCGCCATTAAGCGCGTTCGCCATGGACAGGAAAAAATGGTAGTCACTTGGTTCCAGGTCCGGACTGTAAAGTGGGTGCATTAAGATCTCCCAGCCGAGCTCCTGGAGCTTCTGGCGCGTCAACAAAGGCGTGTGTGGCCTGGCGTTGTACTGATGAAACACAATTCGGCCTCTGTTGATCAAAGATGACCTTTTCTGGATGAGTGCTGCCTTCAAGAAAAACCTTCCTTGCCATCCGGTCTTGGCCATCGTCTGGGCCGCTTCCCCGAGCTTTGACCGAGCGGCGCCAGCATACTTGAAGCTACAGACCCGGGAAAAATTCTGAGAAACATATTATCAGCGATCCCGATAAATGAATGTGTGGATCTGTATACCATAATGCCTGGCCACTAGCTCAGGCCGTTGCCTATACATAACGATAGCCTCACACTGCTGTAGCATGTATAAAAGTTATTGTGTTCTGTACAAACTTACCTCGCATTACATATTTTTTCCGATTGCACCTGAATCGCACACCTCGGACAGCTAAGCCACATGAAAAAGGTAAGAGACCGTTAGCTATTTTATGCTGTCGAAGTTAGCGAGATCGGAAAGAGTGAGGGCCGGTACATGAAATATTTGTCTTTTTTTTATAATAGTCTTCGAAATGTTGGAGATTCTGAGACACCTTTGGTTCTTGGTCGGAGAGACCGAGTCTTTGTTTCACTCGTAAGCTAAAGGCAGGAAGTGCGCTCCCGCGGAGGGGCTGAGCTCACATTTCAAATGACGATGCATTCATTGATAGTTTGCCATCTGAGCTTACCAGGTAAAAGTAGCATGCCTGCGGGTATCGTTTTTAATGCTTTTCAACTATTTTCTTAACAATGGTGTACCGTAGCCTCAGCTTAAGTGATTAAAACTATTGGATGAGTGCATAAGTTCGTGCCCGATTTCAAGTGCAAACTAAAATTGAAATTTTTTGAAGAAAGCGGTTTTATTAATCAATTATGTATTCGCCATCATGTTCGGCAATCCACTCCCAATGTTCAATTGATTTACGGATGCCTGATTCATAGAAATCGCGCGGTTTCTCGTTGAAAAAGGTGTCAAGGTGATTTTTGATGTCTTCCACATTTCTAAATTTATTTCCATTCAATTTGTTCTGCAGCGATCAAAACAAATGATAATCAGAAGCTGCAATGTCGAGTGAATATGGGGGATGCGGCATGATTTCCCAATTCATCTCCTTCAGTTTGGCCAGGGTCGGGCTTGCAACATGTGGCCTGGCGTTGTCATGATGGCCTTTGCGATTGGCCAAAATCGGGCGTTTTTCATCAATTGCTTTCTTCAATTCGACCAATTGCTGATAATACTTGTTGGCAGTGATCGTTTCTCCAGCTGGCAAGAGCTCAAAATAGATCATGCCTCGGATATCCCACCAAATGCACAGCAGTACCTTCATCGGATGCAATCCACGTTTCGAAATCGGTTCCGCCCCTTCGTGTGCCTGTTTCCATGTTCTTTTGCATTGAACATTGTTGTACGGGATCCACTTTTCATCACCAGTCACGAGCCGATCCAAGAAAGGTTCGTTTTTGATCCGTCGAAGCAAAGAAATTGCTGTTGACATACGGTCCACTTTGTTTTTTTCACTCAACTGATGTGGCACCCATGTATCGAGCTTCAAAGTGTACCCAACCTTTTTTAAACGACAAAACGCAGTTGATTTGTTGACGTTCAAATCACTGGCAATCTCTTTCGTCCAAATAAGTGAGTTATTCGAAACTAAAGTCCTTAGAACATCGTCATCAAGCTCAGAAGGCCGTCCACTGCGAGGTTGATCTTCGAGGTTACAATCTCCAGAACGAAATTTCGCGAACCATTTCTTTACTGTGCGGAGTGCTGGAGCACGGTCCAAATAAACTTCGAGAATATCTTTAGTTGCAGCGCCTACTGTTTTTCCTTTGCGGAATTCGTATAACATAATTTGACGTATATGATCTTTTTCGTTGTCCATCTTCCATGCGTCTTTTCACTAAGCAACTCAAATCAAAATGAAGTTATTTTATGCTTGATTTACAGTTCGGACTGTCACCTTTCCAACGATATATAATACAATATGTATATATTTCTTTCACGAGCGCCACTCTCAAACGATTCGAACGGCATCCAGCGGAATCGGGCACGAACTTATGCACTCATCCAATATTAAGTTAATAATTTGGTTTATAATTTACTATTGTATAAACTCAACTTGGTGACTGGATGGAAAGAAATATTTAGGTGCATATTGAGTTTTGAAAGTTATAAACTATATATAATAAAATAGATTCAAAATTATTTTTTACTGTTTAATTTTCGCTCAGCTTTTTATTCATTTGATAAACAAAAACATTATTGCATATTCTCTGTACTACTTCTCACTTTTTGTAAACAATATATTCACTCTATTCAGCACAATTGGTGCGGAAATAAAAAATTTCGATATGTGTTGACAACGAACGCAACAGACGCTTTAAATAAGTGAAAATGAAAATTGAAAAACAAAATGAAAATAAATGCATTTCTTTACATATTTTTGTGCAAACAAAATGGACCAAAATAATTTAAAAAAAAGCACAAAATGTGATTGTGTTTGGTTGGCGGACCGCATGCGTGCACAGTGACGCCTTGAGGTCACACCCAAAACACCGTGTTTGCCACAGTGGACAAGTTTGGAGAGCCAACAGCCGGGCTATTCACCAAGCAAACCAGCTGAACTTAACCGCTCTACAAGCCAACCGCATTTGCTTTCTTGTTGTCCGCCTCATACCTGCACATACACAAACATACACCCAGTCCGCGTTATACGTCTATACGTAGTATGTGAGAGTTGAGAAGCTGTTTGGCCGAGCGTGGTGTGTGCGGTTGCACAATAAACAGCATGCATGACGAAGTGCATCCGCTTGGTATGGCAACGACGACGACGCCTCGTTGACCGGAAAGTAGTTGTGATATGAATGCATAAAAGGATGCTGCGTTTGCTTACATATTGACAAATATGCGAGTGTGTTTGTGAGCGCTAGCATTGCAATGCAATGCTACTGTAGTGGCAACCAAGAAGACGCCAGAACGTCAATACACTTAAAATCAAAAAAAAAAAATTAATAAAAGATGATTGTGCAACGATATACAATACTATAAAAAATAAAAATAAAATAAAAATCAGATTCGCTACTCTTCTTCCTTCTACTTACATATGTATGTGGCATGTTCTTGCTATTGGGTGCAAAATAGCTTATTGCACGTTTGGTTTGTTCGCTGGTTACATGGCTGCACATGCACTTATTCATACATACTCATACTAACTGACCAACAACAATAACGCAGCTGTTGTGTAGTCATTGCAGCAGCTACAGACAAATTGCAATCCATATCCACTTTTCTGCCAAGCAACAGCGCATATTTTTTCCAACAATTTTGCTATTATTATTTTTTCAATTTTAAACTGCAAATATTTGGTTAAAAATAAAAAAAAAAAAAATGAAAAAAAAATAAAAATTAATATAGCAGGCCCAAATTTATTTACATATATACATACACTGCTTGTAAGCGTTTGCGTATGAGAGACGAAAAACGTGGTGTGTTGCAGTCAAAATAAAATTATTGTTAAATTACAATTCAAATTTCAAATTCAAATTCAAATTCAAATTCAAATTCAAATTCAAATTCAAATTCAAATTCAAATTCAAATTCAAATTCAAATTCAAATCCAAATCCAAATTCAAATTAAATTTACAATAACATATACAATAAATATTAATATTAATATATAAATTATAATAAATATTAAAATTAATCAAAATTCAGTTTTGAATTTGATATTAAAATAAAAAATTTAATTATATTTCACATTAATTACTATTATAATTTAAATTTAAAAAATTAGTATTTTACTTATAAAGTTATCCATTTAAATTTTTTAATCTTCCTTACCTCTTTAGCCAAAGTACTCTTCCAAAGCTTTGTTAAATTCCCATTACTTCTTCTACAAAAAAGCCTAAACGTCCATTAGTTGGTCACTTTGTAGGTGCTGTATTTTCAATTTAATTAATGTCAGCACACATTCACACCGCATAACATTAATCACGACAGAACTACAATTTACAAAGTAAACTGGATGTGGCTTCAAAAAAGCAATGTCTCACCTTATGCATTGAGCGTTAGGGTAGAGGAATATTAAGCTCAAATACAACTATGTAAGATCAACCAGAAAATATATCGTACATATATAGGCATACTTGGCTAAACGTAAAACAATTTGCTGAATTACTTGCTTGAATGTCTCGTTCTCTAAGGGAAGCCTGTTTGGTATTTTACACATTTATTCAACTCCTACTTACTGCCACCTATCACTACTACTACTAATACTATCGACTATTAACTGCTGCTATTACCATTGCTGTTTAACATTTCAACTGTTTTTTTTTTTTTTTTGTTTTTTGCTTTGTACTTATTCCGTATTCTCATCCATTTATATAGGTATCAACGGGCGAAACGCAATACATCAGAACGGTTGACAATTTAATAGCGTCGAGACTGAGCCTGAAACTGCAATTGCATGCAGCACATTTTGCTGCCGCCATTAATACCCAACACTTGATGAATCACCTGGGCGGCAGTCAGAGTGCCGTGGGTGTATCCTATAATACACATGGCGGCGGTGGCGGTCTTGGTGTGGTTGGCAATGGAGGTTTGGTTTTGCGTTGCACAGCACAAATTGGTGATTTGTATCAGGAATATAAGGAAATCGAATTGGGCACACCGCAAAAGGATCCAGTGCCTGCCAGAGGTTAGTGTGGTTATCTATAATATATTAACTTATCTATTTGACTACAAGTATAATATGTCTGTTTGTATATACTAACACAGTGAGTTTGTCGTCATTTAGCTGCTCTCTCGCCCTAAAATACGCTGAATGTGCATTTCATTTCATTTTTTATTCTTGGTGATTTGATGATGCTGCGGTCGAATAATTTAGGTTCTGTGTTTATTACAATAAAAATTCTTTTATGAATCGGGCACAATTTAATTTAATTTATTTAATTTTATTTCCAATATTGAACGAATGGTTAAATCGTTAAATAATGATAATTTTAATTCGAAAGCAATCAAATTTCTATCAACACTAAAATCAAGAACAAAATTTATAAATGTCTATTAAAATTCTATTAGAAAGGCTATTAAAACAAATCGGCAAAAAACGAATTTTTATTTATTGTTCGGAAAGGCTATTAAAGCTACAGACAAAGGGCTCAAAGACCAAGCCAATGGAACCATATTAAAGGCTAAACTACTCCAACTCAAATTTTCTGTAAAAAGGTAACCAAGCGAAATGACAAATCCTTTGTTTTACCAAAGCAACAAAGCACTTTCGCTTTTAATCTTCCACAAAATGTACAGTAAATAGAATTTGTACCCTGCTGTGTTGGCGCATATTCAATTCTTTGTTTGAATTTTTGCTGGAAAATTGCGCATTTCTTTTGTCGTATCGCTGCGGTGCACAGTTTTTGTGACATTTGGCTTTGCTTTGATCCCATATCTACGCGCTGATGTTTTTTTTTTAATTTAAGGCATTAATGTGTGAGGAGAAGTAAACTGTGGAATTTTTTATAATAAGTTGTAAAATCCATTGAATTTATTTCCATATGGCTTTAGGGCTTTTAGCATCCGAAGTATGTCAACCTTAACTTTACTTCGCTTATGTAATTCTACTACCAAGAGTTATGAATTCAAAATTCTTCATTACTTCGGCCGCGATTGCTCAGAGGTTAGCATAGTGTACTGCCATTCGGAAGGCCCTGTTCAAATCCTACTACGACCAACATCCAAAAGTTAGAGAAAATTTATTTAAATAGGCTAAATATTCCAATTGCGGTCACCCATCGGCAGGGAATGACCGCTCCTCCGAGTGTATTTCTGACATGAGATAAAGGCTCCTCATAAAAAAAACCAACAGCCGTTCGGATGTGGCTTAGTATACACTGTAGGTCCATCCTTTTTGTTGGAAAAATATCCTTAAGGAGGTGAGCGCCTCGAAAATCGCCTCAGCGGTTAGATAGAGCTAATTAAATAAAAATATTTATATTTATATCTTATTTAATTTTTTTATTTAATTTCATTTATTTTATTTATTTTATTTTATTTTATTTTATTTTATTTTATTTTATTTTATTTTATTTTATTTTATTTTATTTTATTTTATTTTATTTTATTTTATCTTAGTTTATTTTATTTTACTTTATTTTATTTTATTTTATTTAAATTAAGTTTATTTAATGTCATTTTATTTTGTTATATTTTAAATTATATTTTATTTTATTGTGCTTTATTTTATTGTATTTTATTTTTGTTTAAATCTTATTTTTTTCATTTTATTTAATTTTATTTAAGTATATTTTATATTCTATTTTGTTTAGGCGTATTTATTTTGTTTATTTTTACTTTATTTAATATTATTTTAGGTTAGTTTTTTTTATTTCGTTTTGTTTTCTTAAGTGAAGTTTTTTAATTTGTTTAATTTTGTATATTTTTTGCCTAAGCAAAATATTTTTCTTTCGTAACCGGTGGTACTTATATCTTACATACATTTGTATTGTCAATATGTATCGCGTCTTTAAATTATTTATTTCCAATATAATTTCATTATCTTCGCCACGCCGCCTTTTAATTTAATTTCAGCTTAAGTCTATTTGTTTATTCATTAATTTTTAATTTATTTCTGTTAGACTGAGTGTGCTTTGCTCGACTCTCTTTCGTTCATAGAATTCCCCAAAATGCTCATTTCAACCATTTTGACCCGTCGGCCGACCAGCCGTCCAATTGTAGTAGTTAGAAAGTCTCGCCGCCGCCACGCTCCGCGCTTAATGACCTCGGTATTGTAATTTATTTGCTTTACTTTTATTCTCTCTTTTATGAGTTTACTGGTTATTTTATTTTCATTTTGGTAGCCGTTTGGTCACATATTTTCTTATTAAATTTCTAGTGACATTTTCTGAAGCTTTTCCCTTACGGCCATTTAATGTTATTTTTGATGTGAAATAATGAATTTGTTTGGAAATTATTAATTTTGCATTTTTGGCTTGGACATTTTCAACATTTCTGTCTTTTGGGTTTCTTACGAATGAATATTCACATTGAATAATACAAGTTAATATGTTTATTGTAAGAGAGTGAATATTTGTTGTGACGAACAAATTTGTATCACTTAGAGGCTTTTTGTTTTTGCGATTAAAGGTGAGTCGAGGTGAGTCATTTAAAGGGCTTTGAATGTATAACAGCGTTTTTATGTCAACTGTCATCTTCGAGCCTTAAAGTAAAGTAATATCCAAGAATCACCAAGAAACTTTTCAATGTGTTTTGCTGCAAATCCACTCTAATCTATTCCTAGTTTAGGTCCAAATCTGCTACTAATCTTAAGAAGGTCCATTTGAGCAGAATTTCATTCCCGGGATACTGATATTGCCGATCTTAAAGTTTCTATTGTTAATTTCTGATGCTCTAAGTTAAATAAACCCTTGTCCTACTAAGCTCGGCTCGAAATCGCTGCAGAGGTTATAAAGCGCCAAATATATAAATATGTGTATATAGGTCCTACTTAGCTGTTTGGAGCAGAAAAAATTACTAGTTATAATAGAATGAGATATCAGCATCGGATTCGCTCTCTCTTAACGAAGCCGAAAGAAGTAATTTTTCCATTCTTGAGTTCGCGAGTACGGGCGTCGCTCTTTCTGTCTGAAAATTCGTCTCCCATCACACCGAAATACTTAATGTTAGAAGGTGCGCAGACATCTCCTCTCATAACAGCGGCAGTGTTTGTCGTCGAATTTTTTAGATTAGTACTCTTTGCTAAGCAGAAGCGAGCACGTATCTCAGCTGTGTCAGAATGGCTGGATCAGAATGAAAAAACTTTTATTAAGCCCGACCAATGAAAGTTTTTTTTTTTCATTCTGAGCCAGACAAGTTGCAAGGACGAATAATTATGCAATGCAAATATGGCTTATGATTATGAGTGGCTACTTTCAGCGCGAGATCCAAAAATTACGTTATTCTTTAGTACATAACATTTTTCAACAAAGTCACAATTCCTCTCTAAGGAGTTTCCCATCAACGCCTTCGTCCAATTCTCTACCCCTGCACCTTTACCTCCTCTTCGTTTGAAAATCTTCTTTCAATTATTTGTAGTTTGGGGAAGGAAAAGATGTGACATCAGGGGAATACGGGGGATGCGGCGGATGAATCAAGACGTTCTATTTAAACCTAGCGAGCAGTTCATGTTAGTTTTGGCCATGTGTGGCCTGGCCATTAATAAGGCGGTATTAAAATCTCTCCTTGAAGGGGTTACATAGGTCTTAAGGGCCAAAAAAAGTTTATTTTCTCTAAATTATTTAAAAGATGCCACACAAAGTATACAATTTATTTTGCTTACATATAAAAGTACAATATGTGGGCAACATTTGATGAAAATTTCAATGAAATATAGCATAACATGAGGCGTTGGCAGTGTCGTAAAGTAGACCGTCCACAAAAAAGTGCTTTCGCGGTAGTCATGATAACCTTTCAATTTTTATCTGAAATCAAGAACCCAAATCTTTTTTTAGAGTAGGTGATTTTTTTTTGTCACTGAACGAAGAAAAATTAAAAAAAAATTAAAAATAGTATTTCTTGTAGATTTTTTTACAAAAATCGTCATTTTTTGCATGATATTAGGCCACAGATAAAATAAATCCTCGTTCAGAGACTACGGCTTTTGATAAAGTGGTTTTAAGAAAAACGTGTTTGAAGTTTCGGCATCGGTCAAGCCATGACAAAGATGGCGGGTTATAAAACTCTCTAATTTCTCTAGTTTCATCTCGATCGGCTTGAAACTTGGGGGAAAATATTCATTACACTTTGTACTTTTATATAAAATATTATCAAAAAAAAAAATGAAATTTTTGAAGTTTCAAGACTAATGTTACCCCTTAAAACTAGTATTCCGTCAGCAGGGAATATCAGATTTCAACTAAGAACTTCGAAAATTACGCCTCTTAACATAGAGATCCACTTCTTTAAATCTCTGTTTGGTTTTTCAATAATTTCTCCAATACCATAAAGGCTCTGATATCTAGCTCCAGTCAAAAAAGTGTCCAATCATTTTAGTGTACTACTGTTGGTAATAGCGGCTATGGATATACACGTAGCCAACAAATAAATACAAATGCCTACCTCCAACCATTGGAAACATACTAATCAAAAGTACCTTTCAATCGTTTGTACTCAACACAAGCGTGCAACATGCAACGAATGCCGCAAAAACTTTGACGGTGGGTCACGTAGAACAAGAAAATGCATTCACTTTAATTTGATTAGTGTCGCATGTTGTGCTTAGGCACCGCACTCTAGCATGTGGCATGCAACTTGGCATTACTTCTAACAAAATTTCCCGCTGCGACAAATAAAACGCCCACTAAAATACGCTTAAACTTCAATTCAACAACTGAATTGGGAATTGAGGGCTGAGAGCACTGTTTTTACCTGTGTTGCCTGCAACAAAAAAGGGGCAAAATAAACTCAAATAATATTTGAGGAAAACGGGGTAGATAGAGAAGTTGAGCTCCAAAAGCCACAGGTCGCTGCTGGCGGTGCTGAGGCGTAATTGAGTAACAAACTAACAAACAAGCAAATGAAGAGCGAATGAAGAGCAAGCAGCCGTTGGTATGCCGGCAAAAAGTTTTCAGTTGAACTTTCCTATTATATATGTTGTTCTGTGATTGTGTATGTGTGTATGTATGTATGTATATTTACAAATATGCTGAAATCACTTGGGGAGCAAGCGATGAAATCTAATTCCCAACAAACAAGCACTCATACAAAGCTTTTCATTTGCATTAGTACAAGCATACATATACAAATAAACTTACATACATATAGAAATATGTAAACGGTGTATGTATGTATGTGCAACAGTGGCATTCACCGCCAGCAAATTTGCCAAAAATTTTTTATACAACTTCTGGCTTTGGCTTTAATGGAGTTTGAGTGTTAATATACATAGGATTGTTTGTTTGTACGTATAAATGTACCTATATTTTATGATATGACCCCCTCTATTTTGCCCTCACTGCACTTTTCAACGCAGTTTCCTTTATTTTTTGTTTATATGAGTATTTTAATTTCTAATCATTCGCAATATATTTTTTCATGCTTCTTCTTCTTCATCTTAATAGGTGTACATTTTGTGCAGAAAAAATAAACAAACTCCGTTACAAATATTTGCTATTCTTTTATATTTTCTGTTTTTTTTCTCTTATTTTTTCCCTTTTTATCCCTGAGCATTATGATGCATCATTGTACGAATGCCATAACTTTTTTCCTATCTTTGTTGTTGTATGTTCTACGAGCACTCTCAATGCACATTCCCCTCGGCAACTGGGCAACAAAGCAGCAAAACAACTAAGCGCAATACACTAACCAACTGAAGCTCAATTGTGCCTCACTCAGCTTGTTGCATGCACATACACATGCCAACATATCCACAAGCATATACTGCGGGGGTACTACATGGCACACTCGAGGGATCCAATCAAAACTATAATAAAAGCGAAAACAATAATATTACTAACAAACAAGTGTATGCTGAAGGCATCTATATGTCTGCATGTGCGTAGTTTTGTTTGTTGTTGTCATAATAAAATTGAGAGTAAATTTAGAGAATCTTTGCAATTTAAACATTCAATATATCGATGGAAAAATACACATAAAATATTGGCGAAAATTCTAACTCATTTTTGAGAGTATCAGAACTTTGAACTTTCGCCATTTATTGTTCAGAGCTGCATTATTTTTGATTTTTTATTTCATTTATTCAAGTCAGAATCATGGCAATTTTCTACGATTTTTTAAACCAGTTGTCTCAAAACTTTCCTATTTCTTTTTTTTAATTTCGAATTAATTGCACCAACAAAGTAAGCCCGAAATCAGGAAACCTTCATTATTTCGCCCAGGATTTTATTAGTGATAACCAAATAATTTTTTTTTTTTTTTTGCTATCAGAAATTCTGAGCGCTCAGTATGTTGTTCACAATATCTCGGAAAACCTTAAGAAAATTTTCAGACTTTTAAAAATATTTAGTAAAATATTGATCTAGTAAAAAGTAATCCCATTTTTTTTACAACAGCTGGCTTTAGTAATCGGCATTTCGCGCTCTATAAATGCAAAAAGTTTACGATTACTGGCGGTAGTAAGACGATATTGTGTATTAAAAAGAGATAGGAAGAAAATGAAATACGCAGTTTTCCACAATTTCTCTTGCATAACAGAGGAAAGGAGGAGGTGTTTATGGTCCTGGTACTGTAACAGTCGGGTCTCGTCAATTTCATCTAAGTAATTTTGATGTGAAAGATGATTCACTGTGTGTAAGGCCAATAGCTGAAAATGAGTGAGATGGTAACTTGTGATGAATTGATGATCACTTACAGCAACGTCTAACGGAAATGGTCGTGGTCGAAGGGCAGTAAGCTAGCAGAAATGGTCTTACCAGAATTGATAGCCAGAACGGTTTTATTGTGTGTTTGGTGGTATTGGCGTTTGTCAACATAATACACTATGAACTGCTCACCCACCACAGCTACCATCCGTTCTGGCTATTGTGAATGAAATTGGCTGGTGAAGAATTGATATCAAGAGAATCATGTGCATTGTGCCCTATTTTTCGCAAAAGATTGAGGCCTATAATTACGTGATCTTCAAAATAAAAAAGCCATCAATTTGATGCAAAACTAATGGATTCCTATATACAAAACATAATTTGATTTTGGTGCCAAAATTTTCTGAAATGCCGATACTGCAGGGTATCAGTGCTGCTAATTTAATATAATTTTCTTTCTAAGGCCTTCGAATTTATGTTGTTTGAAAAAGGTTTAAGATTAAAGAAAGAAATTTTCAGGTTTCCCGTTCGGTTTCAAAATCATGAATATTTTTTAATATTTTTTCCGCTAAAGAAAACGCTTTAACTTTACAAGAATAAAAGTAGTGTTGGATTTACGATTTTTTTCTTTGATTTTTGTCTATCGCTCTTTCTTCTATTCTGTTCTTCTATTTCTATTAATAAATTGTTAGGAATATGAATAAAATGATCACCGTTAAATAACCACAATAGCTCCTTACTATAGCACTAGCTCGAAAACAAAATTTATAAGAAGGTTCTACTGGGTTATATATAACTTGGTAGCCTCTCAAAGGTGGCATTTAACATGCATACATACATTGATGATACTAACTCTAATTGAAGGAGGAGCTCCTTATATATAATATATTCCTTTCCATTTCAAACTGTCTGCTTACAAATAACGTATTTTAATGTATCCGTATATTTCCCTCATTTTCTGCACATTTTGTTCAGATCTAATCTCCATGTATGCGAGACCAAGGGGCATTGCAGTTCAAAGTGTAAAAAAAATATTTATAGTTTTAACTTTCTTCCGCTAGTAGGAACTCTAGGTAAGCTTCGAGACACTTTTCTGAACTTGTCTATACAACAGCATCACTTTACATCTCCGTGCGAGATTGGTAAGCCCTTGACTACGCTCTGTCCTGAATGGACATTTTAGCCACGTCATTGGTCATCTCATTGCCTTGGTTGTCTATATACCTTGAGCTTCCAGCATTGGGTTTACCTCCTGCCATAATTGCGTTACATGAAATAAACGCAGTAATGTCCAGGCGGTTATTTCCTTAAATATTATATTAAATTTATGCTTCTTGCAGTAAACAATTTTATGACAAATATTTCTGGATATAAGATGCTGTAGTTTTTTAACAGTTTTAATTACTTTTGATCTCTGTTTAAGCTCCTCGTACGTTTGGTGCCATCTGTAAGGGTAAGCGGATATTTACTAACATTCGTGTATCCTTATCGTCATCCGTCTCAATCTATTGGCGTATTAACAGACCGTTGAGTATTTATATCCGTTCAAGATATTGTGATAGGTTAGAACACATTTCAAAGAAGAATTAAGTTTTAGCATTTTATTGGAAATTTAAAGTGTGTATTGACTAAGGAACATTTTTTTTTTTGTAAAAATTACAACGACAATAAAGTTTATGACTGCACTCAATGCCCGCTGATAAAAAGCAAACAATTCCGTATAGAGCTGAGTCAAGCGAGTTGAGTCAAGCGAGTCAGGCGACTAACAAGCTTAAGCCTTTAGGTGCATTAAGTGGTTGGTAGCTTAGAAGTACAGGATCAGCTGCAAATATATCTCAAATTTACTATATATTACTCTGCGAGACAATAAAAAAGTGTCTTCAAGAAACTTGTGTCGCATGTTTATTAAGCCGAAACCTTCCCCTGTTCGCCTTTATAGCTGTGATGAAGACAATTAGATTTATCTTAACCTGATGTCCCACTAAACAGTGTCGTTTAGCATGATTATAGGGAAAACGTCCGTTATGCCTACAATGCTGGTAATAACTGTCTAGTCAAATTGCATGTTACGTCATCAAACCATCTTCTTGATGTTTGCCTCCTTAGCAAGGTCCACAATGTTTTGCAAAAGTTCAGTAGCATAGTGTTCCCAGTTTTTTGTGGACTCCGCATATCCCCAGCTCATCTATCGGGCTATTATTAGAGATGTCCCTGAACGGGTATCCAGATCAGAGTGGTACTGAAATGGTTCTATGAGTCTGTCACATTTTATGTTATATAGTTACATTGTAGTTATCGCAGCTTGACTCTTATAATATATCATATTTGATTGCCGTTTAACCGGGAAACTGAGAACGCTCTAATATTGCAAAACTGCTTTGTGAAAGGTGGTGCAGTGGGTGTTAGCATCGGTGACTGGTCTCTACAGCTAACGATATTATCGAGATTTGGGACGTCTGATGCAGAACCCCTGGGATTTCGCAACCGCTGTCGTCTACGATTCTTATGGAAAGTGTGAGCGAAGTTTCAAGGAAATAACCAATTTAAATGATGACCAAAATCTAAATTAATCCCAAAAAGATTTTTGGCAAAATCTTTCTAAAAAAAATGTATTTAAAAGCGTTTCTTTATGCAAGTGCTGAGAGCCGAGCGCCTTAACAGCTGTAGAGCTTTTACTCAATGTATTCAGCACTGGGTAGAGCAAATATCTGATATAGAAGAAATCTGCTTGCCCTCCTGTATACCTAAATGATCTGGACTTGAGAATGTACGATAGTTGTTTAACAAATGCAACCATATTTAAGTCCGAACTATTCCTTCACCAGCAGTGCCTTGTCCTCTTATGCGAGTCGAACAAAATGTTTTACATTTTAAGTAGATTTAAAAGCGACAATTTTGATGTTTTTAATTCTTTCCTGTTTTTTTTTTTGTTTATTCCTATCAGCACAACTCAATTTCGATCAGGCTTTTTTCTTCCTTTTGACGTTTTTCGCCATTGTTTATCCACCCATAGTATTAACTTGTAATCTCTTGGACATTCTTTAATTTTATCATTGTCTCTTGCGCTTTTTGCAACATCTTTTCATCGCTTATACCTTTTATCCCTGCACTTCTTATACTTATTTCACATCGTCTCATTGAACTTGCTTCTCTTCTCTTTTCTTTCATTTACACAGTGACATTGTCATCCGGCTCTAGTCTGAGTAATTTCTTCGAATACTTTTCCTCGGCCAGCTCCTCAGCCGCATCGGCGAATATATTAAAGACAACGTCGACGAGAAGGAGGACGAGCAGCTTCATAGCGCATACTCCATTGAAATTGACAATATTGGCAGCTGCTGTATGGCGCACCCAGGCGCTACTCCTCGATGTGGCAGTTGGTATAGTTGATGGTGTTTACAACGCATTAAGGCTGAAGCAAGCCATCATGCGCAACAACAGCAATGGTAGATAGTTCAATCGCTTGAAATCGAACGCATTAATGTAGTGGGGATGTGCAGAGTAGAGAATGAGTATAGTGAATATGGAGGCGGTGAATGAGGCCGAGGTTGAGGTGGAGTGCGCGGCAGTTGCTGCAGATCAGCGCGAAGAGCGGCAACAACTAGGCAGAAGTGTGAATGGCGGTTTATTGGTGGCTGTAAGAACTAAAAGCGCAATCAAGCAGCTGAGCCAGAAGAAATATATATACAAAAGTCCAAAGAGAAGAAAAGAAAGCATAATTATAGGCGAAGCAACAAAAGCTTTTAATTGCGAAGGCGAATGCGAGCTCAGCAGTGAAAGCATGAAGTGAAAGAAAACAATGAAAATACGATATTTTTTAAGTCAGTTTATTTAAGTAATGAAAAATACATGCACACTACACATACACACACACAGAAATATATATAAATATATACTATTACATAGTATCTACTCGTACATGTTAATTAAGTTAATTAGGTAGAGCTTAAGAATTGAACTGCTTGCTCCGGCTGGCAAAGTAAATGAAAATGAGCATAAAGTAAATACAACAATTTTGTTTTTTCATTTTTTTTTCCTTGTTTGTGTAAACAGATTATTTGAGCATATATTTACAATTATTGATATGTGTATGTATGTAATATTTGCGTGTTTGTAATTGAATATTGTTAAAACTTTGTGCGCTGTAAAATTAAAATGTTAATTATGCGTAAGTTAAAAAAAATGAGGCGTAAAAAATAAGTAAAAATGAATATAACAATTATAAGTAAACAAAAAAAAATTAAATAAAACTTGAACAATACAAATGTGGTTTCAAAAAGCTGGTACTACTGCCACACCACACGAGTGCTTATTGGCTTTATTGCGAAAGAAATTTCCCGACATCGTAAGCTCCCGTCTTGGCGATGTCACTTGGCCACAGAAAATGTGCGATTTGATATGATTGGACTATTTTTGAGGGGCTAAACGAAAGTCCTTGTTTATGCGGAGTTATGGCTGAGTTACCGACCAAAAGGTGCCAAATTTTGGTTGAAACTTATAGCAAGCGGCTCGAATTCAAGAGACGGTCATTTGAGTTATGTTGTCTTTTGCATATGTATGTATGTATGTATGCCAGGATTCATGTATTTGCGTTTTTTTTTTTTTTTTTTGAAATCACAAAATTGTTAACCCTGTACAACGCAATACAATAGAGAATGCCTAAGGATTATCACAACAAAATGAATTAAAACTTATATTTTGCTTTCATATACATATGTATGTATGTATGTACATATAAATAGTCCAAAACGTTTTAATTAAAATCGGTTTTTTTCTTAAAATAAAAAATTAAATTAAAAAAGAATTTAAAACATTTTTTTTTATTTTTAATTTTTTCAATTAAATAAAAAACTTACCAAAAAATTTTGAAAATTACATAAAATAATTCATATTTTTTTAAATTAATTAATATCTAAGATTTCTATATATGCAAACCAAATATGTTTTAACCAAAAATACAACAAAAACAATTAATTTATTAAGCTGTGTATAAACCGTTATGTAAAATAATATTCTATTTTGCTTTCAATTTTTATTTCCATTTCATGTGCTTTTACTTCAAAATGTGCATATGTACATAAGTATTTTTTATGACCGATTTCACGGTTAAAATTATTATTATTTCGTTAGTTTAAGTATTATTACTAAGCTAACGGAAGAGACGATTCGTCTGCTACATAAAAAAAAAAAAACTAACAAAAATAATAAAAAGTGCATCCATTGAAAATAAATTAAATATATATAATATTATATAATAAATTAGACACATATGTATGTATCTAAGCTAACTGAGAACAAAAACTACATTTACATAGGCATATATATATATATATATATATATAAGCATAATAAATGTAACAAATTAAATGTTATTGAAGTGTAAATGAAATGAATACAATAAAATCGCTTAATGGCATCTTTAAACACACAACTACAAGAATATTTTCATTTTCTTAAATAACTGTTAAGTATGCGTTGAAAAAGAAGAACAAAGCAAAGCTGTTTTTAAACAAAATTTCGAATTTATTCGCTCTCCCCATTTAATGCCAATTTTTTAGTATTCGTGCGATGATTTTTATTAGAAATTTATCGTAATATTATTGTTGAGAAATATGAAATCTTGGTAATTCAAAAGAATAATAAAATAGGTCTCTTTTAAAATTGTTTATATAATTCGTATTTCTAAGGGACTTTTGAATTTTTATGAAAATTTATTATTTTCTTGTGTCAATAGTAGGTATATATTGTAATTTGAATATACTAAATCGTTTCATTGCAAGTAATTCAAGTTTACATCCTTAGATATAAGTAAAGTTATTTAAACGCAGCAGGATATGACAATCCCTCCTAGTGCATTTTTGGCATGAAATTAAAGGAGTTCCTAGATCATTTAACGAAGAAAAAGTCCTTCTTACCTTATCTTTCCAACGGAGTGAGGGTCTTTCTTTGCTTTCACTATCAGGTACTGCAACGAAATCTCTCAAAACTAGAGTGTTTTCATCCATTTGGACCGCATAATCTAGACAGCGTAACCGCCTTACATCTCGTAGATCTCATCGCTCCATCCTTTGCGGCATTCAGGGGTTACCTATACGCAAAGGACCATAAATCTCATGCAAAGGATTTTTTTCGAAACTCCCGCATCATATAGCAGGCTGTAGTTGATGAGAGACTTGTAGAATTTTGTTTTTGTACATCGACAGAGGGCTTTATAATAGTACCTGTTGGCTAAAGTGATTCTGCGTTAGCATTTAAGGCTGGCAGTGTTGTTGTTTTTAATGATGGTTCCAAGATAGGCGAAATTATCCAACACCAATGTATTTTTATGGGTCTTTTCCAAAAATTGTCGATTGGTGAATATCTGGTCAATTCTAGATTTTCAAGGTCTGAAGGTACACTAACAAAGCCTAATTAGTTTGCTGACGGGGGTTTTGCCTTTCATACAATCTATAAATATTTGATCAGTTCTTTACCGCTGAATTTGAATATCTCGGCGGACTATGAAATTGTGCTCTCGAAGGTGATATTTTCGGTAAAAAACAAGCCGAATAACACAGAAATTGTAAAAAGCGGCTCAGCCGTTTTTGAGTTTGTAGCATTTCCAAATTTATGTGTCTCCAAAGGATCCCAATTGAATTGCGGGGTGGTACGGTAATGAGCTCAGCTGTGATCTTTATAGTGGAAGAGCTGGGCAAGCAAAATGCCCATTGTTCTTTGTAGACAAGCTACGAGGGGTTACGGAAACCAACTATGTACGAATGCAGACAAGCGGCGTTACCGGTAATGAATTCCAGCGTTGTCAATAACTTTGGGGCGATTGAAGCACGCTGGCAAGCCAACTTAATATCTCCACAATATGCGCTAAAGGCCATAAGAATATGTTCAGTAAGGAAGGAGCTACCGAGGGGGCCAGGCCGTCAGTATCTTTCAACGAATTCGAAGCAAAGGGAACACAATACTCATTAAAAATGTTCAAAAGTGAGTTTCACATACAAATTAAAAAAAAAATTGCATAGCATTTAAAAATCCACTCACTATACTATTAAAGAAGAAGAGCTGAGGAGTTATTAAGTAGGTCTCGGTAGAATTCCGCCTGCTTCACGACAATCCCAGAGCACACATAGCTCAATATCACGAAGAATAGCTCGAATCATTCAAAGAGGGTGCTCTGTATCATCCCAAGCACTACCCTTATCTAAAGGGTGGTTTTTTTAGCTATTATCTTTATTTATTTTTTTGGCAACGCTGCTTTATAGCTCTTATAAAATCGTTCTTTAGACCCGTCTGATTGCCATCTCTTTACTTGCCTGAAGATGCTCATGGGTGGCAAATGTTTCTCTCATCGGGAACACCTACACCAGCTGCTTAGAGTCGTATTCTAAAACATCACAAGTTATAGATGATGTTATTAACGGTTCTTTAATTTTTAAGTTGAAGATAAATAGCAACTCACTGAAACGAATTTGAAATGACCGACTATTTATTTTACTTGGCCACTTATGCCACACAATATGGCTTCATCAGTGGTAATTTTTAGATGGCGGTGGTTTTTTTGGGCTGCCATCATAATTCCCGGTAAGAAAATTTCAATTGTAATTTCATAAAATAAAAGAAAGGCAATAATATCCTCAGTGAGACTAATATTTTTAATATTTCTTGTTAATTACATTGTATTAATTTACTCAACTTAATATAATTTTTATTTTTAGAACCTAAAAAGATGTTTTTATTAATACAAAAATTTGAATTTAATTTTTTTTTTTAAATAAATTATAGTTAACAAAAATTAAACTTTCATTTGGAGAATTCAAATTTAATTAAACCGAAAACAATGACAAATGCGTGCCCGTAAGAAGCTCAAAATTATTTTTGAAAATATGTTAAAACCGATTAAAACAGCTGCGATGTAGAGTTAAGGACAGTATTCAAAGAATGTTCGGCGTCTAACACACAGCTCTCATGTACTCTGTGGCCAATTAACGTAGCAAAGACGAAAGATTTAGCTGCCGGAAAAATTTTCCTCGCAATAAAGACATAAACACTCAATTTTGTGTGGCATGTGGCACAACCTTATTGAAACCAGAAATTTTCCAAGGCAAGGTTCTTCTATTGCAGATCAAAAAGTTATCCACCTGACTGGCGTAGACACCGCTTATGCGATTATAGCCGATTTAACAACATTGCGCCATTCGTTTCTTCTGTATGCTATGTGGAATTGGAAATACTAAGCACAGCCAGATCCTTCTCTATCTGGTCTTTCCAATGGAGTAGAGGACTTCCTTCTCTTTTGCTTCCACCGGGTACTGCATTGAAAACTTTTTAGCCGGAGTATTCGCATCCATATGGGCCACTTGATCTAGCCAGCGTAGCCGTTGCTTCTTGATTCCCTAAACTATATCAATGTCGCAAAAAAGAGTCGGCTATTATAGAGTTATAACGCTTCGAAATGACAGTGACAATATCGGCGTTATCGCTTTCAAATAACTAAAGTTCAATCACATCTCCGGTGCGAAGAGTACACAAGACAGTAACTATCTTTCTGGGTGAAATGACCACTCTTCCCTTATTTGAAGATTCTGGGAGCTCCAAATTCAACAATTCGCGGTAAGCGATTCATGTACATAAACGAATGTTTTAAAAACATCTTTCGTTTAACAGTTAAGGGTGAGTGAAGTTAAAATCCAGTCCTGTACATTTGAAACCATAAAACGGATAACCCTTTATATGTATGTATATGAATGTTAGACCTGATTGTTATTGCTTGAAAATGCATAAAATTCACATTGTCAATCAGTGAGTAGTTTGACTTGAAAAAAAAACATATTAAAAATTTATTTTTTTAATAAACCAAAAATATTTGT